GTGAGACAAGGCCACAACCCCACTGTATACAATGTTTCCCCACCACTGTATAAAACATCAGAGAGACACTGACGTAGGTAAAATTATTGTTTGTGTTGATATCTTCACTGCTTCTGCGACTATTGCCACTGCTACATATTACTACGTACTGCTGCTACTACTATTACTACTGCTGCTACCACTATTACTGCTGCTACTACTACTATTACTGCTGCTGGTACTACTACTACTACTCCTGCTGCTACTACTACTACTATTACTAATACTGCTACTACTATTACTACTACTACTACTACTACAACGTTCACGTTTTCAGTACTGCCTTCATACCTAGAAAAGCTCTCCCTCAGCTGAGACCTGCTGACACCCTCCAGAGGGACGCTGTTACAAGAGTGAGCCTTGCCGAGGTAATTTAATCTTGATTCGTTAGTCTTCCAGCGCGAAGATTACTTCCCTTTTACCTTATCTTCCGAGTGTCACTCTCGGAACGTCGTCATAAGGGTTACTTGTGATTAACTGTGTAAGTTCTTCTCTTTACAAAGGTATCTTCTATACGAAACTGTGTTTCTATTATAGATGAAGACATTTGCTGAGAAAACATTTCCCCACGATGGGGTTTCTTCAGTCCTCTCACGCCTGGTGAAATATTTCGTAAATGTCTTGAACTGTTCATGTATGTGTGAGTGTGTGTGTGTATACTCACCTAGTTGAAGTTGCAGGGGTCGAGTCCAAGCTCCTGGGCCCCCCCTTTTTGTGGGGCTTTTCCCTTAGGGCCCCCGAGAACGAGCCAATGAAATCTCTTTTTTTAAATTTTTCCTGTATTTTAATAAATTGAAAGTCTCTCTCAAACCCCCCGGAGAAAACCCTTGATAGTCTTCGTCCCATATCCCCGGGTTTTCCGTATGAACAAAACCCGCCCCCGGGGTTTAAATTTTACCCATGAATAAAAAAAAGAAAATATTTTTGTCTGAAAACCGCTTTTTTAGAGAGGGTGGGGTTCAGCCGCCACCGTTCCCTATTGTTTGCTTTCTACGATATAAAAAGTTACATTTTTTTTTAATTAAAAGTCATTTGCAAATAATTATTTTTTCATGAAGAAAGGGAAGTTTTTCTTTATATTTTATATATATATATAAAATTTTAATATATAAATATATATATATAATATATATCTATATAAATAAGGCGGGTGGGCCCTCAAACGCTTCCGGGATTTCTTTTAAAAAATTTTTTCCACGACGAAACACAATAAATTTTAACCCCCTTTTAAGGTACCATCACCCTGGTTGAACCCCCGCCCATCCTTGCCCAAACAACTTTAAAAAAAGGGTTTCGAAGTTTTTGCAATCAAATTTGCCCAAAAAAGTTGAAAACTAGGGGAACAAAAGTAAACTAAAAGAAACGGGACGAGACAAAGCAAAAAAGAAGATGAAACCCAAAAAAAGACACTTTTTAACGCCCTCCCAAGAAAAACCGAGAAGAAATTATGGGGCAGTTAGGGCACACGGGCGATGCGGGGCCGGGTAAAAAGGGGCCCAAAAAAACCGAGACCCCGGCGTAGGCAGACAACCCTTGCACAGCTTTAAAAAGGTTTCCCGGAGTGTTTAGGGCTCCCCGGCCCAAAGCCACCGTAGTACACCATCCACAGGAATTAACAACCAACCCGGGACCCAAAAGAACTAGACAGTGCAACACAAACAAATTTTTTTTTAAAGGGGAGCGACCCGGGGAAGGGGGGGGGGGAAAAGGAAAAGGGGGGGGGGGAAAAAAGGGGGGAAGGGGAAAAGGAAGGGGAGGGGGGGGGGAAAGGGGGAGGGGAAGGGAAGGGGAGGGGGAAAAAGGGAAGTGGGGGGGAAAGGGAAGGGGGAGGGGGAAGTAAAGGGGGGAAGGGGGGAAAGGGGAAAGGGGGGGGGGGGAAGGGAAGGGGAAAAAAAGGGGAAAAGGGGAAAGGGGGAAGGGGAAGGGGGGGGGGAAGGGGAAAAAGGGGGGGGGGGGATAAAGGGGGGAAGGGTGAAAGGGGAAAACGGGTAAGGGGGAAGGAAAGGGGGGGGGGGGAAAGGAAGGGGGGGGGGGGAAGGGAGGTAAAAAACAGAAACCCTTTTTAAAGGAAAGGGAGTTGGGGGGGGGGTTTCAGGGCTTTTGGGGGCCCTTTTGTACGGGGTCCCTAGAGCTACCCTTTTCTCCCTTTAAAAATTTCCCCCCCCCTCCCCCTCCTATTCCCACGGGGCTGTACCCCCTAAAGGGGTTTTGGGGCGCTTCCCCTTTCCCATAAAAAATGAAATTTCAATAAAAAAATAAAAAATTTTTTTTTTTTTTAAATTTTATTTTTAATTATTATTATTATTATTATTATTATTATTATTTTTTAATTATTATTTTTTTTTATTAAAGATAAAGAAAACAAAGAAAAGAAGAAAAAGAAAAAAGAAGAAGAAGAAAAAAAGAAAAGAAGAAGAAGAAGAAAAAAAAAGATGATAAAGATAATGTTTATGATGATAAAGTTTAATGTTTGAAAATGATAAAATGATTCATCTGATGGTTTTTTATGACATCTAAAAATTCATGAAAAGGGAAAATTTGAGGGAAATTTAGATTTCAATTTTTTCAGGAGAAGGAAACGAAAGGGGGCTGTTAGGGGGGATGGGGAGGGCGACGGGGGATGGGGGGGAAAATCCTTCAGTCAAAAAAGTGACGGGGGAAGGGTTAGGGAACTAAACCCAAAGCAATGCTGGGGGGGAACCTTACTCTTGTACCGTAAGGTTTGGGCTATATATAAATACACACACAACACAAAACACACCACACACACACACACACACACACCCCACACCACACAACACACAAGCCAGCTCTTCAAACATTTAAAGTCATGAAAATAACTTTTGGGGCCCAATTAGGATCGATCTTTCATTCACCATTTGGGTTTTTGACGCGCCCCGCGCGAGCGCGTGTGGGGAAAATACTCACTTGTACTCTTCTTTTTCCGGGTTAGGGGGGGTTTTTTTTCCTGCCCCCTTGGCCCGGCCTCTCCACGGCCGCTACTGTTTCGTACCTCCAGCATTTTTAAAAACTTTCCGGGGACCCCTGCATCTACTACTTCGTTTGTTTTGGATTTCCCACTTCCTGCCCCACTCAATTATTTCCCCTTCAATTATTATCAACAAATTTTAAATTTAACACCCAAAGTATCATTGTTTTAAATTTTTTTACACCCAAAGATTCCTGATTCCCGGGCCCCTTTCTCCTAAGTCGAAAACAACGTCCAGAAATTTGGGCCCCAAATTAAAACAAGATGGGTCCACACAGTTTCAACAAGGAAATAGTGACCAAAAACTAAAGCCCCAATATAAACTCAGTTTTTAGTAAGCCGCTAACCAACTGAGAGTGAAGACCAAAATGAATTTTTTATAAAGAGCCAAAGAATTTGGTTAACACAACCCTATCGATTTATCCTGACGAAAAATTTAACTTCGAACAGGCAAAAAAGAGCATGCTCATGCACTCTCCCCCCGGGGCCAGACTCAGGGAATTTCCGTGTTCATAAAAGAACGGCAAAAAAACCCCTATCACGGGTTTAAAAACCACATATGGAGAGGGACAGGGGAAAACGGGGGTCGTCCCACAGGAACTAAAAAAAACAAACATAGCCCCCCCACCAAAGGGGGGCAGTAAAAAAATTTGGGGCAAAGAATTTCGACCGATACACTAACATCCCATATCATAAAAATCTTTGAAAGGGTCCTAAGAAGCAAGTCCCCACCACCCATCTAGAAACCCCAAAAAATTACCCCCCCCCAGGGCAAAAATGGGTTTGAAAAGGTCGCTCCTGTCTGTCTCAACTTTGGATCACACGAAAAGGTCCTAAATCACAAAAGACAAAAAGAATGCAGTTGTAATATATACAGCCCTTTGGGAAAAAACCCTTCGACAAGTGTAACCATGGCGTAATAGCGCACAAAAGTTTGCAAAAAGGAATAAGGGAAAAAAATGGGTTGATGGATCTAAAATTTCCCCTAAATAACAGAACAAAAGAGTATAGAAAACAAAGTAAAGTCCGGGCAGCAAACGGTGAAAGCTCTTTTCCCAAACAATGCACGGGTTACTCCCCCCATCTGTTCTCATCCTCTTTTCTACTTTAGACAAGGATGTCACCCCACAGTACGTGTTCCTTTGCAAAGACACCCGAATCTGCATGACAGTGTTTTCCTTTGAAAACACTGAAAAGGCCCTTCCAGGGGGACTTTAACCAAATCTTTCGTGGGGGCTGCAAAAAAACAATATGAATTTTAAAACCAAGAAAAAATTTTCAATTAACTCAGATATGGTAAACACGGGAAAATTTAAAACCCTCTTAAAAAGTAAAAAAAAGAAAATTTCCCGGGCCACGAATAAGCAAACACCAAACGTCAAAGACCTAGGAGGTAAAGTCGGGGATCCACCTTAAAGGACCATAACATTTATCAATCCATCTGCTAGAAAAAGGGACAGAGGGAAAAAAGAACCTTCGAAACGGGGGATCCCAAGCCCATGAGGGACACCTTCGGGTTCACTTTTTTTTTCTGGGCTGGAAAAATTGCTGAAACACAAACAGCACCTTTCAAGGGGGGAAAAATTTTTGCTGACCTAAAAATTACAGAAAACCCTTTCAGGGCCGCAAAAACCGGAAAAAAACACCAAATTACTGGGAGCGCTTAAAGGTTCCTGAACCTGTTTCCCTGGAACGCAGGCGGGAAAAAACATGATTATATACCCCTGGAAAACCCTAGAGGGACAAAGTACCGAACTTGCACACAAAAACCCACTAAACTAAAAAAGCAAAAGGACTTGGAAAGAGGGGAGAAAAACATCCCCCCAATAAAAAGGGCCGGGGTGGGGGGGTCACAAGCACGTTAAAAAACCAAATACAATAATTTGTAAAGGGCCCCAGCCCTGTTCAACTGCCTCCCAGCATAATGGGGGGTTTCCCAAACCAACCCCCGGGCAGTCTCAAGCGGGCACTG